GGGTATTCAAATGAAAGGTCTCGATGAGTGTAACATCAGGAAGAGCTTATATTTTAAAAAATGTCAGTAGTTGACAAAATGCAAGGTCATTCGCTTTATTATTGATATTTTTAAAAATGTAAGCTCATCCTGATGTTACACTCTTCAAGAGCTTTCATTTGAGTACCCGCTTGCATTTTTGATATATTTTTCATATATACATATACATAATATATATAAATATATAAAATATATGAAAAATTGATGTAGGTACTCAAATGAAAGGTCTCGATGAGTGTAACATCAGAATGAGCTTATATCATTAAAAATGTCAATAGTTCACCAAATAAAAGGTCATTTCTTAATTGTGTATCTAAAGATAAAGCATTTTTTAATGCAGCCTAAATACTTATCATCATAAATTAACTATTGGTGAGATTGAAACCATAAAATGGCACAACTCCTGGTGAAAACTTTTTCGACCAGGGAAATATTTTTATAAAAAATCTTTGGTGTGAATAAGTCAAGCTTTTATTATAATTTAATTTCAAAAAAATAATAATGACCAGCTGGCTTATAAATAAAAATCCAGTGATATTAATTTCTAAAAAAAAATAAAGAATAAAAAATTCTCATGATTCATTATACACCTCAATTAAAAACTAATCCTGGTTTTAATTTTTAAATGGAAAATTTTAAGGTTCTTATGAATATATCAAGACCATTGAGAGCAAGCTTGAAACTTTAAAAAAGTCTCATTTAGTATGTATTATCCTCTAAGTATTAAATGAAACTCGAGAATACATCCGCGTAATTGCAAATGCGAGAAATTAGGTTTATTTTTAGCGTATGTTCAATTTAACGATATTTCAATTTTCCTTTTATAAAACTAATTGTCATTATTAACTGGCTAATTACAATAAATAATTAATTTAACCCCCGGAGAATCAAAATCAATAGTGCTCAACGATTATAACAAAACTTTCGCCGTTTAGAGTACTACAGTTTAATGTTTAATAATGTAATTTAAAAGTAAGTTTAAAATGCTTTAAATTTCAATATTTTAAAGGTGAATTTCTTTTTTTAATTAACTTGCAAAAATAACGACCAATAAATTATTAAATAAAAAATTTATTTTTTTAATTACTTAAAAATATAAAAAATAATTAATCTTCTAAATAATTTAATTTAATCGAATTAGTTCACTTGAAACAATTTACACACCACTTAGAAAACTAGGTTTCTTATGTATGAATTAGCGTAATTGGAAAGAATATTACTTAGTTCGCCGCTAGTCTTTTCAAGTGTTCGATAAATCTTCTAATAATACTAGTAAGTAACCTTGCAATTAGCTAAAAGTTACAAAGTTTGCTCGGAACTTGATAATTGTCAAGTTTATTGTCATTTACTTCGTGAAGGATAATGCGCAATGAAATATCATTGTCATCTCGAATAGAAGGTTGCATTATTTACAGTAAAACTATTATAGAGCTGGGTTCGTTTTCAATACAATATTTTACATTTAAAATAATTTAAAAATACGTCGCGTGCCTAATGCCGAAAGGGCGTATAAAAAAATTAGGAATTTTCATAATTTTGAACAACAGTCTTCAAAATTGTCCGGAGAAAATTTGTGAAAAAAATAATTTTGAAAAAGTCAACATTTTCGATAGTAGTAAATTAAAATTTTCATCATTTTGGACACTCCAATGATTAAAGAAGATTAAAGAAGGTGTGCGTCATATTGTGTATTTCAATTTTTTTAAAGGCCTAGTAAATAGATTTTACGAATTTAGTTAAAAGTAAAATATTTTGCAACCGCGCACACTAAATATGTTCCAAAATTTTTTTTTTAATTTTTAAATTTACAACAAAATTTTTTTTAATTTTCGAAAATCATAAACAATCATATCGGTTACTTGGATTTTTTAATTTTTTTATTTTATATCTTTTTGTAAAGAAAAAAACTAATTTTTTTTTCTTAATAGTCTTATGAACGTGGACTTGGCGCGATTTTTTTACAGTGAAACTGTTTTTGTTCGGATACGAGTTAAACAAAATTTTTCTTACAGTTCCCAATTTTTCCAATATTTTATTTCAACTCTACAATTTAATATAATTTTTCAATCTGTAAATTTTAACTCAGCAAGTTTTTTTAGCTTCTCCAGATTGAGTTCATCCTCGGGATGAATTCTACTCTCGGGAGAGTGAATAAATAAAATATTATTCCCTCCACATTCACTCCACGTTTAAGCAGTGATATCTCCGCAAATTTTTCCCGTGTATTAGTGCATTATAACAACAATAGAAATGATTTAAAGTGAACGTACCCCATGTTATACGGCTCTAAAGTACATTTGTTCATAAAATCTTTCGTTTAAATTTAGCGAGATTGCTCTTTAGCCCATGAATAATTCAACTTTTTGACTTAGACTTTTAAATACCACCGAATAAAAAGCATCTTCAAATTATTAGTATACTACAACTTTATAAATATTTTTAAGAAGACACTATGATAAATTATAAAAAATAAATATTTTTTTTGAAAAATACGCTCAATAATTTGTTGTTTATATTTTTTCCAATGACGAAGAAAAATTTGTATTCTTACGTTCGACGAAAAATGAATTTTCATGTTGACGATCATGAATATATTTTACCTGACTGTTTTTTTTTTAATAAAATGGAACAAACAAACTTTGTGTATAAAAGCTAAAAAAAATGGAAATTTTTTTTCGTTTTTTTTTTTTATATAAATTGACAATATATATGCCCCAAGGGGATGAATGTTATGGAGGGATGAAAAAATTTGTAATTTTAAGAAATTTGATACCTTTTATATCAGCAAACAATAACTGAGATGAAACAAACAATTTTTAATTGAAAAATTATCAAATATTATTATTATAATAATCCCGTAGAAAAGTCATAAAAATAAATATCAATTTTATAAAATTTTTTGTTAATAACTTTAGAAGTGTACAAAAAGAAATTTTCGATGAAAATTATCATTAAAATCGGAGAAATGATTAAATGTTCTGTAATTTCTTATCTAGTTGCAATTTTAATTAATAATTATTTAGAAAATTTTTAGTTTATATTAAAAGAACGAAAAAAATGGTTCTGTAAGCTCCGCTAGGTGGCGAAAGATATTCTAAACTTCTCACTTGTATATTGGAAGATTAAGTAATCAATATTATTGCGGGATTTAGTTTAGTATTGCAATATATGTTTTATAATTGAAGATATACTGAGAGGAAAGTGGATAGTTAGCTGAATTATAACGTCACAAGTATAAAAATATTTCTAAACTTTTTTTTTGTAGTTACTCGAATTATGCATTAGTTTAAGTAACTATTGATAAATAGTTACATCGACTATATTTTAATAAATATTTTTCTGTTATCGTGTTAAACAAAAAATTAGCTGACTGAAAGGTTGTTACGGACGATGTCTCAGATAGCTTAACTGTCCGAGCCGTTGGTGCGTAACCAAAAGATCCGGGTTCGATTCCCGGTCCGGGTTGTCCGAATTATTTTTCTTTTTTCAGAGTTAAAGTTAATCAAGATGACTTTTGAGCCGATATTTTAAACTAAAAATAGTTTAAGTAACTATTGGGGTTCAATATAATAAATAATTTTAGGTACCAGAACTTCAATTAAATAGTGATGCTATTCAACTAGATTTTTCTAGTTAAGAGGCCCATATTCTTCTCTTAGTATACAAAGTCCTCAATAAATTGATGATAAATTATCATCTATAGATTCTCGACTGAGTAATGAAGGTCCCGAACCTCCTTAATATCAGTGAACTATTTTCATAATGAAAATCCATTTAAAGCGCGAAATAATTTAGTTCGAAAGGTACCGGGAGAAAAATAGATGAGCTAGTAGCACATTATTGTTACATTTACTTGATAATACTCCTCATTAAGCGCCGTTTAACTTTTAATAATAGAAAAAGAATAAAAAAACCGGCCGATAAATTTTTTAGGTTCTTCATTTCACCCTTTCCAATTTACGTTTATTCCTACTGAAATAATAAATTGTACTGTTGCGTGACGTTATTGTCTATAACCTACTTTCTATATTAAATTTTTCATCTTCATCTCCATGATGGCAGCCGTCAGTCTCTTGCAAAAATAATATATAATTTTAAATAATTTTACATGGACGAAACAAAGAACACAACATTCTGTCTTCATCCTTACCCGCTGTCGCATATGAAAAAATTTAAATGGCTACCCTATTATCCTTTGCATTACTGTCACGCCTCCAGGCACATATTTAATTTAACATACTGTATTTAATGCGAGCTTAAATTATTTAACCGAGCTTCTGTCCACTGGCAATAAATACGCCTTTGTTAATATAATGCGATCTAGTAAGCCAGAAAGAAAAAGGAAAATTAAGAAAAAGTTACCTTACCTTACGTCCATTTGTTAATTGGCTGGCATTGTTGTATACTCAGAAGATCGCTAGATGTTAAGTGAATTTGGTAGTTTGTTCATTGCATTAAGTTATACTGACACTAAAGTTTATTAATCAAACACTCTCATCGCTATCTTTTGAACGGAGAAACCGGGGTTAAATTTTACCGAGCAAATGAGTAAGATTTAATGACTTTAAACAGAGGATATTTAATTTTACTACGAGACCATTGATTTTGTTTGCGAATTACTGAATTACTGAATTATCTAACTATTCAGAAGTTTCTTTGATATACGCTTAGAATTTTGGTGTAATTGCTGAAGAATTTTTAAATATTTGCACGAAGTGAAATTAAAATAAAAAAAAAATTTTTTTTAACTAAAACGACTCTTTAGTTAAAGATTTTTTAATATAACTTAAAAAAAAAGATTGTATTATTGATATTAATTTTTTATAATTAAATTTTTCAATCATATTTAAAATCAATTTAATTATTTTTTTAAATAGAATACTTTGATTAATTTTACTTTTATAATTTAATTAATTAACATCAATGACAATAAAATAATTAAATACTAGCAACCTTGCAGTCACTTTGTGACTGCCTGTAAACCTTAAAAAAAATAAAATTTTTCTTTATTGAATAGTGACTATTATTAAATTGCACTGTACTTTTTTATATATCGGCGTTTTTAAATATGTAAGGTCATCTTGATGTTATACTCGTCAAGAGCTTTCATTTGAGTACCCACATGGCATTTTTATATATATTTCATATATACATATATGTAATATATATAAATATATGAAAAATTGATGTGGGTATTCAAATGAAAGGTCTTTAGGAGTGTAACATCAGGATGAGCTTATATCTTTAAAAATGTCAATAGTTGACAAGATACAAGATCATTTTTTAATTATTGATATTTTTATATAAGCTCATCTTGATGTTATACTCATTAAGAGCTTTCATTTGAGTATCTACATGCATCTTTATATATTTTTCATACATCCATATATGTAATATATATAAATATATGAAAAATTGATGTGGGTATTCAAATGAAAGGTCTCGATGAGTGTAACATCAGGATGAGCTTATATCTTTAAAAATATCAATAATTAAAAAATGACCTTGTATCTTGTCAACTATTGATACTTTTAAAGATATAAGCTCACCCATATATTTTATATATATGGTATTTATGAAATATATAAATATATAAAATATATGAAAAATTGATGTGGGTACCCAAATGAAAGGTCTCGATAAGTGTAACATCAGGATGAGCTTGTATCTTTAAAAATGTCAATAGTTCACAAGATACAAGGTCATTTCTTAATTATTGATATTTTTAAAGATATAAGCTCAGCCTGATGTTACACTCATTAAGACCTTTCATTTGAGTACCCACATACATTTTTTATATATTTTTCATATATACATATATATGTAAATATATAAAATATATGAAAAATTGATGTGGGTACTCAAATGAAAGGTCTCGATGATTGTAACATCAGGATGAGCTTATATCTTTAAAAATGTCAATATTTCATAAGATATTTATTAAAATGCCCTATACTTTCTTAACTATTAACGTTTTTAAAGATATAAGTTCATCCCGATGTTACACTGATCAAGAGCTTTCATTTGCGTACCCACATGTATTTTTTATATATTTTTCATATATACATATATATGTAAATATATAAAATATATGAAAAATTGATGTGGGTACTCAAATGAAAGGTCTCGATGATTGTAACATCAGGATGAGCTTATATCTTTTAAAATGTCAATAGTTTACAAGATACAAGGTCATTTCTTAACCATCTATCAAAAAACCATTTTTAAATGCAGCCTAAATAATCATCATAAATTAACTATTGGTAAGATTGATATGAAACCTTAAAAAGGCACAAATTCAAATCAAAACCTTTTCAATGACACTTAATTTAACTAAAAAAACCGATTTTATCATTTGTCTATCTTGAGAGAAAATTTTCCTTATTATCTTAATAATTTTATTTTGTATATCACCAAACTAAAATTAATAATTAATAATTAAACTTAAAATTTCAAGCATGTACAGTAATATTTCTTAATAACTGCTGATCTTAATGTTCTACTCAACTAAAGTAATATTCAATGAAGAACAGAAAGATGTATCGGAAGAAGTTTTGTGTACAGCGGAAATGTTGTGTTAAAGCTAAACCATCAGTGGGTGAAACTTTAGCGGAACCATACACAAACTTACTTGAGGCTCTTTCAATCTACGATCAAAGTTCAAACTTCCGCAAGTGTATTCCTCTTAAGTGTAACTTTTGAATTGCAAGCTTTTGGTTATTGTTATTATAAAGCTTCTTTAATAAGAATTAAAAATTAAAAACAGTCGTAAATTCTATCTAAAAAAAAAAAAATATCAATAATTAGAGGGGTTCGATTTAAAAAACGGCAAAGTTCTTTGAATTGATTTGTATTACTGGCATCTACTTAAAGGCTAGTTGCCAAAAAACTTGGTCTTAACATCAAGCTGATAGATTGATTTTCGATACTAATATTACTCCAGTGGATTTTAAAAATAAAGTCAAACATTAACTACACAACATAAAACTTTTCGACGGATTAACGGTAGACGTAGTAATAATGCGATTAAGCTTTACTAGTTTAATTTTACTGAAAAAAAATGAGCAACGTGACGCAATTACAAAAACAACCGAGTTTTAGGATCATTAAAAAATTTCCTAGACTATCTCTCGACTCTGAGCTTAGAAGTTGCGATAACTCTATTAACGGACTATTGAAAAAGTTTCATTACTAGTACCGACAAACTCACCATACACTCTTTTTTTTTTTTTTTTCATTTATCTACTATATTTACTTATTTACGCTATTTTTTTTTTTGTCACTTTATTTACTTGCAAAGTTGCTGTTCTTGCAACTAATCGAGTGCTTTCAACGCAATTAGATTTATAGAATAATTTGAATTTATTTTTAGCAACAAATTTTGTTCGGATAATTTTTAATTGAAATTGGATCTATATTAATTCAATATCAATAATTAAAAAATGACCTTGTATCTTGTGAACTATTGACCTTTTTAATGATATAAGCTCATCTTGATGTTACACTCATTAAGAGCTTTCAATTGAGTACCCACATCAATTTTTCATATATTTTATATATTTATAGATTATAAATATAAATATATGAAAAATATATAAAAAATGCAAGTGGGTACTCAAATGAAAGCTTTTAATGAGTGTAACATCGGGATGAGCTTATTTCTTTAAAAATGTCAATAATTAAGAAATGACCTTGTATCTTGTGAACTATTGACCTTTTTAAAGATATAAGCTCATCTTGATGTTACACTCATTAAGAGCTTTCATTTGAGTACCCACATCAATTTTTCATATATTTATATATATTATATATATGTATATATGAAAAATATATAAAAATGCATGTGGGTACTCAAATGAAAGCTCTTGATAATTGTAAGATCAGGATCAGCTTGCATGTGTAAAAATGTCAATAATTAAGAAATTACCTTGTATTTTGTTTACTATTGACGTTCTTAAAGATATAAGCTCATCCTGATGTTACACTCATCAAGAGCTTTCATTTGAGTACCCACATGCATACTCGATATATTTTTCATATATAGATATATCTAATATATATATAAATATATGAAAAATTGATGTGGGTACTCAAATGAAAGCTCTTGATGAGTATAACATCGGGATAAGCTTATATCTTCAAAAACGTTAATATTGAAAAAAGTACAGTGTGATTTAACAAAAGTCATTATTTAATACAGCGAAATTTTATTTATTTATATAGTTCACAAGTTAAGGCAGTCACGAAGTGACTGCTAGGTTGCTAGTTTTATATAATCCACCAAAATAATTTTAATTGTGTAAAATAATTGAAATCTAAATAATGTACCCGATATAATATTGTACACTACGCTTTTGATGCTTTTCCAATTGACCTTGCATCTCTAATAGCGTAAATTTAGAGTAAAAGCACTCTAAATTATTCAGTATACAATTGTAATATTCGTTATGATTGGTGTTATCTCTATATAAAGCATAAACCTCTCATCAATACTTCTCATGAAGCTTAACCGAACAGGGTTAAAAGGTGTCACAAATACATACACACATAAATCCACTTTAATACATTTATCACTTGTAACATCACTTTGAAAATCATGAGATCTAAAAACGTCGGAATTATTAAAAAATAATCTATTGAATCCTTAAAAAAATTTATCAAATTTTTTTTATGAAAAAAACTTTATCTTCAATAATTAAATATTATTTTTAAATACTAAATTAATTTTTTTTAAAATAAAATTCTATTGATTTTGATTCATTATTTTTTGCATCATAAATGTTGATTGTTTCCGTACAAAAAATAATTATATTAACAATTTTTGCTCTCTCTGCATACTTAACTGTCTTTTCAAATTATAATTACCGAAAATTGTAATTAAAAAACAAACACTAGGCTGCTAATGAAAAAAACGTACTAATAATAATGATTATAATTATAATATTTATAGAGATGATAAATAAAACAAGACTAGCGGCAGAATAAAAGTTAAAGAACGTTTAGATAAAAGGGAAAAGTAAATTCAGTGAATATTCCAGAGGGTTAAATGTTCCTAGCTCTTTGCACAGGGTATGCATAATGCAGCAGACTGATGACTAACAATGCCATGTTCTCTCTTTGCTCTATATATACAGTATATACATTCGTATATACTGTATGTTGACTCAATTTTAGGATTTTAATGTATGCATTTATCAACATGGTGTTCAAATTGCATCTGCTAGTTTCAAAACGTCTGAGTGTCATCTAAGTACGTGTTATATTATACTCTTTTATTCATAATTTTTTCAATGAAAAAATTAAAAGTAACTATTGATAAATAGTTACATCGACTATATTTTAATAAATATTTTTCTATCGTGTTAAACAAAAAATTAT